CCTGGGTGCCGGGCGGAACGAGCCGTCCCCCGGGGATGGGGGGTCCCGTGTCCCCGCCGGGCGGCCGGAGAAGGGCAGCGCGGGGAAGGCGGCGGGGAAGCTCGACCAAGAGGGCGGGGAAGGGGGAGGCGTTCCCCGGGGGTGCCGCTGTAGCGGCAATAGAAATGACCATCTGCAGGGCTTACCATCGCTCCTTTTGGCAGATGGAAAGCCAGTGGAAGCCAGCTTCAACACTGCCTTTTCTTCCTCAAAACAAAAGGAAGAATGCATTTCTATTGCTAATTTAAAAACTGTAAAATATTTCTTTATTCTACTAAAAGTACAGAAAAATCTGTGTCTTTACATCATATTTAAGCCATTGCTCTGCCCTGGGAATGGGTGGAACAGAGCAGGAAATCATAACCACCCTCCCTGCACAGAAGTCAGTGTAATGTTCACCCTAAAAAAAAACCCAGAATGTGCTAAAAAATTAGTGATACAGAGTGAGACATAGGTACTTAACAGCGAAAGACAAAGCTGGGATGTAGTGTACACACCCTCCCACTAAAAATAAAAGCCCATGTCACAGCACACACCTAAGAAAGGGCCCATCAAACTCAGGGGAATTCAAACCAGTACGTGCAATTCTGAAAGCTGGAAGAAATGCAAACAAGCAGGAGGAGAGAAGGAACTGCTTTTAGAAAGAATTTTACTGGGAGTTCTGTACCCCCAGTCTTTGCTTCTTGTTTCATAGTGGCTTTTTTTTAACTGCATCAGTATCTTCCTAGCTCTCCTACATGACTTACTCCTCCCACTTCTTAGTCCTACTTTCATGGTTATCTAAAGGAGATAACCATTTCCAAAATCCCAGGAGGGTGGAATTACTTTCCAGATCTTTCTCCTCGTGAACTGCCCCTTCAGAACTCCAGTCTCTTCCTCTCCTACCCTACCATTCTAAGTCCAATGTTACGTGCAGGGGGATGACTTACAGGGATACATCATCCCTTCCAGGACATGGGTTTAGAATTCATCTGCAGGAACCACCTAATCTCATGTTTGAACTGCTGATGTGTTACATATGTGAACCAATTTTAGGATGAGGCTCTGTTTCTACAATGTGCTTGTCAAAAAAGATCTACATCAGTATAACCATCAAAATATAACAGTATTTTAGCCTAGATTTGTAGCTCATTTGTCCAGGAAACAATTATGTTAAATTCCAGCTTAGGGAAGGGGAAGGAAGGGTATCATGATGTATTTCCATTATGGGAAGGGCAAGATTTACAAAGGCATATAGCCTGTGCCCTTTGATAACAGACATTCATCAGTAATAGATGTCTGAACTGGTACCTGCATGGGGAACTGACTAAAATCACTCCTGCACTGGACACATAAAAGCTGGGCAAATTTAAAACAAGATTCCCTTCTTTCTGATGTATGCCAAGTATATTAAGGTAACCTGCAAACATGATTTTTTTCTTCCATGTTATGTGTCAAAGTCAGCTACGCTATGTTTGCTCTGTTCAAGTGCTGCTTTATTTACTTATTTTACTTCCATTTTACTTATTTAGAACAATTTCCATATGGTGACATGCCTTTAATGACACTCATGACTCAGAAATACTTGTTGATGTAGTCAATGCCTGCTGACATGAGTCACTGAAGTTAAATGTATGTTATTAAAAATGAGACAAAACAAAAGGCAAACACACATCTCCAGCAGAATGATAGGGATCATCACCATTTGATCAATCTTCCCTGTGAGTTATATCTGCAAGTTACTTTGAGGTAGCGCTAGAAAGAAGCTGTTGGTCCAAGAGCATCCCTGCAAAAAGAAACATTCATGGCTTAAGTACCATTTCACCTTTTTGTACCCTTTTAAGTACTCTTTATCCTTTCTGGCCTGTTTCTTTCTCCCTGTTCACTGACAGCAGGATTACTGGCCCCTCAATCCATTGTACTAAAGCCTCTCTCTTCAGAGAAGTGATAGAAAGCAAAAACACTACTCTTCTTGAAGAAATTAGTGGGTTTTAAGTAAAGGGACTCTTGCAGCTAGGTGCAATGAAGAGTTTATAAAAGCAATACTACATATTCTTGCAAAAAACCTTCATCAAGCTTAAGAAGAACACAACCACATTTCAGCTGGGTAAAAGAGAGACAAAACACAACTGGAAAAAGTAAAATAAGTTAGTGTTGAAAAAGTTGCTTCCAAAGCTTTTTTTCTTTAATACTTCCACTACAATCAGATCTTTGTAGAACTGATGTCAGGCTCCTCTGTTATGTGTTCAGGTCTTTGCATAAGCTAGCTAATGCAGGTGGGTAGCTGGAGAACAGCTGTAAGTTTACTCAGTAAAGTCTCAGAAATGCATTCTAACAGTTCTGATGCACTCACTTTTTCCTGTATTTGGGGTTCATGGGTAACACACCAATACAGGAAGAAATTTTGCATTCAAGTATGCCTTTACAATAAAGAATGTGCACTGCACACACCATCTTGATCCCATGTATGCTGGAAAGAGGAATAGGCTAGTAAGGCTCAGAAGACAGAAAAAGAGGTCAGAGGGCTACTTTCAAACTGTGTCACATGGGCTGCAACCAACACACTCTTCCTCACCTCATTTTTCTTGTCTGTTGACTGCAAGAAAATACAGCCCCAACGCTTCTGAGGTTTGGAGAACTAATGGCCCAAACTGAACTACATAAACAGTAAAACTTTCACTATACAAGTACTTTACAGTCCAGAACAGAAAGTGCATGCATGTCTGAAAACAGCCTCTAATGCAGAGTGTAGAGACCTTAACAGGTAAGATCTGCGTAAACTGAGTGGCTACAGACTTTTGAGGTTTACATACTGTGGTGATACAGTGTCAGACTAAGTGAAATCACATAGCTACATGGGCCCCTCATGACATAGTTCACACATAGATCAAACCCCAAATGCCAGAAATCAGCATAGATACTCCATAGTACTTTGCTGAGCCACCACACATCCTTAGCATAACATTTTCAACTGATAACACAATGAAAGTTTTCCACTAATTACTTGCTGCAACTTAAGTATGCTGTTAGGTGATGCTATGCAAGCCACGTCAAAAGCAGGATATAACCCAGACACAGCCCTGGAAGCCATCTTGCTGCTCATGGCAATGGTACTTGCTAGATACAAAATCCTCTTCTTAGCAGGCCAGTTTGTACTACCAAGCTCAAGCACCACAGCTATGTCCCACAACTTAAGTGGCATCAAATCCTGTACGATTTTGAAGTTTTAACACTCTCATCTAAATTCAAGGGGCCTGCATCTATTATCTTAGGTTTCCTCACTACTGCAGTCCCCTGAAACAATTCTATACAAGCACACAAGCGTCCTCTTTCCCACAGATTCTCTTTGCTTCATTTATTCCACTTTGCCACATTCTCATTATCTTCCCGCTATTACCCTCCCCAGTCTCTAGTGCTCACGCAAGTGGAACGTTAACCCAGGAAATCCATGTTCACAGCTACCTTTCAACTAGCTCTCCCCAAAGCAGGGAAACAGTTGCTAAAAATGTGATGCTACTCCCCCCTGCCTAGATGAAGTTCTTCACTTTGTCACTTCCTACATGTACATCTGCACAAAATCCAGGAAGAACAGACTTCTATTGTACTCCAAAAGCCTCTTCTGTTTTAGAGCATCTGCATTTCTTGGCAGGACTTTGAAAATATTCCTAGCTGAAATTGAACTACGAAGAGAGGGGGATTCTGGTCAGCACTGAATAATTACTCTGCAATACAGTATTTGTTTTAAATTAAGAACAGCATATGGGTTGTGACCACTATTTTAATTACAGTAGGTCATAAAAAAAGACCTACTTGTTAATTTTTCTCCTTTAAACCAGAAAGTTATTTTCTCCAAGGATTTTTAGGTTTAAGAACATGTGTTATGTTACACCAGTTTCTTTGCTGTGAAGTGTCAGTTGAAAAGACTAACAATAAGAACAGGAAAAAAACTGTCAGCAGGGATCATCCTTAGTCTTTGGAATATTTGCAGCTATGGTAGCTGAAAGCTTGCCCTTCTGTATGTTTAAAATACTGTATTGATAACACAATTCTAACTGACCTAACAAATCAACAGTAGCACAGTTAGTGCCAGCAGACTACGGAAGGAAGAGTGGGCCCAAGTGCTCCCAAACACATCTAAGCAAACGCATTAAGAGCTTGTACAAGATCACCTGGGTAACCTGGAAACACACAAGGGTTTTTGCTAGTGTCTTGATGCCCGTACCAAAGCAAAGACTGAAATACCCCCTGCCTCCAGCTAAATTCCACAAGCCACAAGAGAATGTGCTTCACATTTGTAAGTAAAATCCCTTGTTGGCACGTTTGCAGAAACAAAATTTTATTTACACAGGCAAGTCTACCTTTAGACCCCACTGAACTCTTTACATTTCTAGAATATTTACATGATTTCAAGATGCTCCAAGAATAGAGTGATGAACAAAAAAAAAATTACAGAAACTGTCAAAAGCATAGCAAAAAAATCCAACCTATCATTGTGCTTTAAAACTTATGATCTAGAGTAATGTAGAAGAAATGTAATTTTAGCACCTTGGTCATAACGGTCATGCTATATAAGACACTTAAATAGCAGGGGGGATCTCAGAAGTGACCGTATCCAGAGGTTGCCAGTGACAATTCATGAGGGAATCATAGAGTTCTTCACTTGTCTCCATAAATTGTCTGTTCATTTCGTCAACATCCAAGTAAAGCTGTGGATCTGAAAGTAAAAGCCTGGTAAGTACAAGTGTCAGATTTTGGGAGGCATGCACACAAAAGCCTAAAGTAAACGCCTAATAAAATGTGTTTTAGCTAAATTTAATAAAAATAGTAAATTTAATAAGATGTTTATCCACCTAGAATTCTTTAACAAACCTAGCAAGTCAACTTCTTTTGGAATCTGCGTACTAAAATACTACGACTATACTGCTATTTCAAGATACAGAGCAGAGTTAAGGCAAATTAATCATTAAACTCTTCCAAAACCCATTTAATTAATTTCTACTACCACATGCATTATGTAGGATGTAACACAAGATGTCTCTACGCAAGGAACTGTCTGCAAAACTTCCCAGACAAACAATTCAGTTTAGTACCAAATCTTTAAGTGCAAGTTGAATCCTCCTTTCAGGACCACAATGTAAGCTTTTACCTCAGGGTTTGGAAAACAAAGCTTTTGCCTATTTATGAGTTTTAACACAGAATATGCTTAGCAGAATCAATACAAAGATATGACAAATTCTGTATTAGACCATTTTGGAAGGGGAATGAAGGCAAAGTACAAGAAACCTACTGTGAAGTGTTGCTTACAGTGTCCCACTCTACTTGACATGGTGTACGCTATCAGCTTTAAAATCCTACCTCATCTCAGCTATAACCCATAGAGGATCCCACTACATCAGCTGAATTTCCAAGATATTCTTCACCCAATAGTCATTGGCTTGTATTGTTAAAGGCCACAAGCATAGCTAAATTCAAGTTGCAGTGATAGAATCATTATTACCTTCAGTTATTAAGTCATCACTGATTTCGGTCATAACTGAAGTTTCCTAATAAAAAAAAAATTGAAAGATTAATGATAAGCCATTCCAGAAAGCACCCCAAATCCAAAATAATTTTGTTCTCCTAAACTATTCTCTCCTCCCACAACTAGAAGAAATGGGGGGGAGGGGGAATATTTGTTGGGGAGGGTACTGTTTTTGTTTATGGATTTTTTTTTGTTTGGAGTTTTTTGGTTGGTTGGGGTTTTAAAAAAAAAAAACACAAAAGACCACAAAAACACGTAGTATAGTTCAGGTTGGAAGGGACTTTCGGAAGCTGTAATTGGTAAATTGGCTAATCTAAGAGAAGACCATCTTACAATAATTAGTTAATTTGCTTTAAGCGAAGTACATCAGAAAAACAGGAAGAGAGGAAGCCTACACAATTATGCTGTCAAAACTTATTTGGCATACATGAACACATAATGGTGTATAGATCTTTAATCCTATAGATGCACTACTTAACCACTTAAAGACACCTCTGAATGTAAGCCTGCCATTCTAACTTCCACACTAAGCAGAAAGCATGACTTCAGTTTTAGGACTTTTCTGCTCTTATACAATCTGTACAGCTTACTATTTGTGATCTTTTTTTTTTAAGCAAGTGCATAGCATCTTTACCTCAAAAACAGCTGGAGCCATAACAGCATCTCCTAAAGAGCAGTCTCCAACGGCTTGCATGCTATCATAGGGAGTATAGGAGCTGTAGTTGTAGTCAACATAAGGATCATAATTCCACTGTGAGGAGTAGTAGTTCTGATAATCTTGGTAATAATCATTATAGGTGTATGACTGGTACCGCTGGAATTCTGCTTTCAGTCTGAAACAGGAGAAGTTACAGTTAGAGTTTGAGAACAAACTGTAAACCCAGTTCTGAAGTTAAACAACTTGCCAGCTTACACATTTCAAAGTTTAAAAGGAAGCTCTTCTGAATAGTTGCCTAAGCAACAGTCCAAGTCACAGCACAAGATCTCATGATTATACAGAAGCAAATGCTCTCACCTTCGCCAGTACCAAAAGTAATTACTGTCATGGATTAACTTGAGCCATGACACCTAGCTGTATTCATTTTGGGTATTTTTAGTATCTGTATAAGCAAGCTGCTGACAAAAACTACTTTATTAATACCAGAGACATTTATCAAGCACAGCTGCTTTAAAGATGCATTCAGTCTTAATTAGCCCTTCTATTTTTTGTTTGGTTAATACTAAATCTTAGTATTTCCAGAAACAAGGGGGTGAAGAAAGATTATCTGTTTCAGAGGAGCATCTGATACTGCCTGCCAGTTTGCCATGTCTACCTCCAACTGCCCAATTTTTAGCCCATGAACAGTTGTCAAAGCATAGCTGTCAGGAAAAGTCAGCACTGTCGTTATCCAGTACAAAGCCAAAGCAGCAAGAAAATTACAAAACTCATCAGTTCTTAAGACCAAAGGGCCAGATGATTAGCCTTCACTGCTTTCTCTCTCCAGAGTACATTTTCTCAAGAAAAACTTCCCACTAATGACAAGAATAAACACAGGTGTCTGCACTAAAACAGAGGTACACTACACGGCTACATGAAATACATTCAAATAATCCAGCTGCACATTAAAAAAATTCTTAGATATTTCTTCACTGATTATGTACAGGCAGACCTCCTGTGTTTGCAGAGCCCAGTTTCTCTGCAGCTCCACTTCACTACAGAAAGTCACATCTAGGCCTTTTGTCAAGAATGCAAACTGAAGGAGCTCAGAAATAAGTTTCCAATACAAGTGACTTGGTGACAAACTACTCTGATGGCTGGATATTTTGATCCTACAAGAGCACAGTACTCAGCCATTGGGAGAGAGATATAGATAAGTGATATCTCTTTTAATACCTACATTAATTTGTTTCATTACTGTAAAGCTACATATCCATTCTAATAAACAGGTATTCCATTGTCTTCCTACTGTAGTAAACAAAAGACTATGTAACATCTCAAAGTCTTCTGCTTCCAACTTATGTCCTACATACATTCTCTGTAGGAAAGAAAAATCTGAAAAATACTGTTGACACTCTTCTGCACAGAAGTGAGGAAACCTGTTTCTTTGTGACCTCTTTGTTTTCAAAATAATGTAGTCAGAGCAATTCCGGACAGTGCTCTCTTGGGTAAGAGGATTTCCATTCTAAAGCAAAGAGGCAACATTTGCAGAATTATCCAGGGTAAAGAGAAACAAAAACTATTATTTCCACTATTTAACAGAACATACAAGCTAACCTCATGAATAATCTTAAATTGTTTTATATAAAAGTTCTATTTTTGTCTGTATCCTGGATCAAAGTTTATCAAATTTGTTTTCAATTCTCTAACTGTTTAGAAACTTGAATTGCCATAAATACCTGAGAGAACTGAGCTGGCAGAGTAAAATAAAAGTTATTGGGTTTTGAGAGGATTTTAATTCCCTGCTACCCCAATCCCTTGAAAAGCAAAAAACAGTATTCTAAACAAACTGTTCCAGAAACATCTCCTTTGGCTTCTTCCCCCCTACATTCTACATTTTTCCACTTAAGAGTTCCTTCCTCTGCCAGCCTACTATAAAACTAGCAATGTGCTACCTTGCCTAAACTAGAGGGAAGGGTCTAGAAGAAAAGCTCCTTAGCATACCACACCATTTGTTGTCCTTTCTACCTTCTTGAGGCCCAAACCTGGAAAATATTTATGAATGCATTCAGCTTTGCTACAGTAGGAATTAAGGCTGGTTACAACAGCAGCTAAGCCCAAGTTACACAGTCTGTCTAGACTTAAAGAGTTGGATTCCCCCAGCAATCCTGAGAAAGGTTGATGAATCCAGGGAGTCAAAACATAATGCTTCTCTATTTTTGGTTTTGTAGACTGCACCATGTGCACAACCATTATAGCAAGAGCCACAGACTTTACAAAGGCAGAGCTACAAGAATTTGATTATTTAGAATTACTGTACCAATGCACAACTTGTTTGTTACCTTTTAGAAATTCCTATGCTCAGCCGGATTCGTTTTCCCCCCAGACCTGGTGCATTCTGGCAGTCTTGCAGTGCCCTCATCTGATCACCTTGCTCACCAAATCTGACAAAGGCGTACCCTCTACAATTTTCAAAAGGGAAAAAAAAAATTCTAGTATGCATAACAGTTACAAAGCTAATGAATTCAAGTTCTGTCTTTTAAAAAAAAACAGTAGCTACTATAGCTTCTATTACCTAAGCAGCCTCCCTGGCACGCACACATGCACAGAAAATGCTTTCACCAAATTAAAAATTTGGTCCAGAAGCAAAAACCTCGTTCTTTGATAGCATTAAGATGCAGCTTGCTGAGAGCCAGTGAAACCATACATTTTAATTGCCACCTAAGTAATTGGATTCTCTATTTCTGCATTTACAGCAGTTAATTTATCAGTTAGTATTAACCCACTCCTACCACTGCATAGCACTAACATTCTTTTTATACTTGCTTTCTCTTAAATTTCTTGAATTAGTCTAGTACAGCCAGAACAGTACAGTTCTAGAACAGTGAACTCGCGCATCCCTGCTCAACTCACTGCCTGGCCAGTATAACTTCTGCTAGGCTTTATTTACTAATATTAAGAGGTTTGGTCTCCCAACCCTCTAAGATTTGCCAGGCCCTACACTTTTCTCCCACATGTATAAAGGGAATTATTTTGTATTCAGTACTGCAGATGACTACGTGGACACACTGCTGTGCATTAAGGACAGCAGCACAGGTTTCAGTGCACAGCTCTCCCTTCCCCCACCGTCTAATTTCTTTCATGCAGATATGAATATGGCTAAATTGAAGCTTATCACATTAACAGCTTAAACTAACGAGAAAGTTTTAGAACCACAAGGATCTGTGCTGTTAAAAAAAAATTAATGCTAGGGATTAATCTCTCTTCCTGCCTCTGAAGAAAATGCAAAAACAGTTCCAATGCAAGCTCTTATACATTACTTATAGAAGCAAACTTAACAGCATCACAAATTCTCACAGGCATTACCTTGAATATCCCAGCAGGTCTGTTGCTATTTTGCAGTCAATACATGAGGGGTACCTCTTTAGAAAATAGTCAAAGAGCTGGAAATCATCCACTTCTGGAGTAAGCTCCCCAACAAATATTGAATAATCTGGTCTTCAAAAAGATAAAAAGAGAACAATTGCCAAGTTTGAGACTAAGGTAGCTGACTACAGTATTAGGGTACCTAACATAGAAGTGGGTAGTTATCACTGGACAAATAAGGACACAAAATCTGAAAATAGTATTAACTGCAAAACTCTGCTGAGCAATGTACAGAACTGTAATGCCATCACTCCAGCAGAAAGTTCTCCATTTCTGTGTCCATTCTCCTACTTTTGCAAAAGAAAGCATTTTAAGCAAAGACCCATTTTAAAATAAACTTTTAGAAGTTGGTTTTAAAAAAAAAAAATATTTATTGTCTGAATGGGCAGAGGGATGGGGGGGGGGGAAGAAAGCAAAAAAAAAATACCAAGAAAAACTATTAACTCAAGTTACAGGCATGATTCAAAAGAGCCGTAAGTATTTTGCCACCACTTCTCAGCAATTACGGGAGAAACCAACTATAAAAAAATTTCATTATTTACTGGCAATACTGGCAGAATTTCCATAAGCAATACTTAGTGTATACACACCAGATGTGCCATTTCAGGATTTTAAGACCAAGTGATGGCATTCACTAGTTACTATCAATTTAAACAGGCAAGGGGTCAGAGTTTCTCATTTCAAAAGGTCTTTACCTGGCTGAAGTACTACTAGGGACAAACTCTATTCTTCCTGGTTTTATTTTGTTCTTTTTCTTCCGTTTCTTTTGTGGTGTCCTCCACCAGCTGTAGGCCTGGAGACATTCTCTCTTTTTCGCAAGTAAGTCCTGTTGGGAGAAAAAAAATCACCTTGATAGTATTTAGCCTCATTTACATTCCTCCCTCCCACTCCCCATCACCACAGGTGATTTCCCCATATTCACCTTGCCCTTGAAAGAAGCCTGGGGTCCCATTTCTCCCTCCGCCTCCCATGAGGGAAAGCAGCCTCTGGGGAAAACGCCTGGCAAAAATAACAGAGCCAAAGGATTGTATGAACAGCCATATTCCCCTGACTTGTCAAGCTGGCTAAAGGATTGACAGCTTCCTCTTGTAATCAGGGAAAAAGCAGGCAGCCCTTCGATGCTGGCCAGTCCTAAATGTTAATTAGCTTCAGGACTGGACTGTGTTCCACTGGAGCTCCAGGACCTGCAGCAGCAGTCTGAGTGATGAAGAGGCAGGGAAATCATCACTCTTGCCTAGAAGGGATCTCAGCTGTCCCTATCTCCCCTCTCCTAGGAATTCTTCTTCTCTCATGTTAGATGCCTCTCCTCACTACTCAGCTGTGATTCACTCTCCCAGGCCAGGAACAAGAACAGGAGGCCAATTAATGGAACATAAGGAGAAACCAGACCAGGAACAGGCACTAGCTTGGCTGAGGGAAAACTCAAACCCAGACGCAAGGCCAAGGCCAGGAAGAGGCAGGCAGAAAAAGTGCCTCTTGAAGAAAAAAAAAAAGAGAAACCCAAAACCCAAAAACCACAGTTTAAAAGGAAGTGGGGCAGCTACATGAAACAGGAGGGAAACGACAGCCATGACAGGTTGACTCCCTCACATAAGATTCTGAAGAACAAGAATTTTAAAAAATAGGAATGGTGCTTTTTTTTTTTTACTTACGCAGGCTTTAATGTTCTTCCTCTAGAACACCTCTACATATATCTTATATATAGAGTGTTATGCACAAGGTCCTTCAGAAGAACTCAAGCTTAAATAATCCAAACTGCAAAGCTTAATGTTATGCCCCCAACCTGCTTTAGTTGATATAATTAAGTGTCCAGAGGACAGTCACCAATTACCAAATTACCAGAAGAAATTGTAGGACCACAAGATAACCCAACTCAGAGCAAGCTAGCTATTTCAGCTTTACATTTACTAGGAATTCCGAGTATGGTTCCGGAATCCATTTAGGCACTGCAAGCCTCAATTTCTGACCAAATGATCTTACCGGGCTTGCCATGGTTCAAACTGTCTTCCTCCTCTCTTGAAGAATACAGCTGCACAGGTTCAGGTTATTGTACTCCTTCAGCTGAAAAACAAGTGGGGGAGGAACAAGAAGATAAAGAATCTTAACCTTGAGATTAATTACTTTCAAAGATGTTCACCCCACCTTATGTTTTTAGTATTATTAATTCAGAACTTAGAAATTTAAGTTCTGACTTGTCACTGCTGAAGCAAAGGAAATAAAAAGGATGTATGGCCAATGGGACTACAATTAGAAGCCATCTTCACTTTCTTAAACTGTAATAGTCTACAAAGTTTTCACACTGTCGAATGCACTAGAAAATTACAGAGAGCTTTTAAGTCACCTACACCTCACCCTTACATGAAATACCTACATATTATAATACAGTAATTCAGAAGATCCATGTCCCAGTTAAAAACAAGGCAACAAAGATAGAGGCTTCAATATATTTTGTACAACCCCTCAGGTTTTTTTCCCCCCTTTTAGCCAAATTAGAAGTTGATTTACTTGTACCACAAATCATACAGCTGAACACAAGTAGTGGTACTTCCCATGTGCTAAAGAACAAAGAAAAACAGAAAAGGGAGGAGGGCACAGTACAGGCAAATGGGATATTTCTCTGCTCCTTTTCTTATGTATGTCTTCTCTTTTACCTCTTACATATACACATCTCACTCCCTATCAGTGAGTTAGCAACAACGAATGACGTTGCACACTATCACTAAACCAGTGGATACACTTTCATGAAAAGGTATGTACCTCTTTGTTGAAGCCAATGTCCTTTTTTTACACTTTCTTCCCTAGTAATCCAACCAATATAAATCAGTGCAGAAAATTTCATTTGCAAAATATTTCCACACACAGCTGTTAATTCACCACTGTTGATTTTTTACATCCAGTGTTGCTCCTTCTATGCAGACATTTGATTGATGAAGTTTTAATTCTCATTTCCATGCAAGAATTTATGTAAAGCTTTACATATTGGCTGGTCAAATCCACATTCACATAATACAATAAATACAGAGTGTCTGCAATGCCTTAAAGGCTCGCCCACACAGGGGAACAGTTCAGAGCACTACTTCTGAAAATGGATTAGGCTAACCTGACACAGGATAGCTATATACCATAATTAAAGCATCCGTGTATAGTGTTAGTCAGGATAACTATGCACTTCATCCCCACACCCATCCTGAAGCCAAGGAAACAAGTCAAGTACAAACAAGCCCTTAAATGCAGGAATTTGCCCTAAACCTAACTGTACTCATTATAAAGAATTATCAGCAGCAATTTTTTTCCTGTTAAAGGTCATTATTAATAAAAATGTCCACATGATGCTGTTCCTCTAATTCAAGCACTACTTCTATTAAGAGGAACCACAAACTCCTCCATGCTTTAAACACTGAAAGACTAATTCTTGAATTCACAACTGCATAATACTTTTTTAACTTACCGCTTTTTATTTATGCAGAAATTAACAGAAGATGGCATGCACTACAAAGCAGTTTTATTGCAAAAGACTATCAGAAGGCAACCGATGCAATTGTTTCTCGGTCAGTTATAATGAACTTTAAGCAAAACTGTTTCTGTACTCTTCCCTCGTCTGATCTTGCCTGTCTCCTCGTGATCTTTTCACTAGAAAACAGAAATATTTAAAAAGCAGTTAAAAGAGCATGCTTTAACATCTTATTTTTTGTATTTGCCTTAACTCTAACTACAGTCACAGATAGCTTATCATTTAAGCAATGGGACAACTTCAAGCTCAGGAATTCAAGCACCTCCTTGATTGGATTACACACGCATTTTAGCAGCCCATTTCCTCCACGTCTGCACTGGCGAAAAGGCGCATGAAGCCATTTACGAACAAAATCGCACAGACACAGCTCACACAAGATGGGAGCAGGAGCCGCCCCCTTCTGCATTATTCTTCCTCACACGAGGACCTGGCTGAGGGCAGCGGGCTGGGAGACCCTCCCAAAGCGCCTCAGGCTAGCGCGGTGACCCCCGCTGAGCCACCCACCGAGCCCAGGCCCGCCCGGCGCCCCCCGCTGAGCCACCCCCCGCCCCCGCGCCCGAGCCGCAGCGTGCCGTGACGCAATTTTTTTTAGAAGAGAGCCACGGCGCCCGGCAAGAAGTGCGCCCCGCCCGGCCGCGGCCACACTGGCGCCCAGGCCGCGCTTCCCCTTTATTGTGCTACGCGATAAGGAGAAAAAA